CACGCAGCAAGGAGATCTGGATGGCGGGCGTGTGGCTGTGCAGTTCCCGGTGGAGCTGGAAGAAAAGAGGGAGCCTCGTGAACTCCCCACAGGACAGGACAGGAGGACGCAATGGGAGAGCGCCCACGGGGAACACAGTGGTGCTTCCTGTGCCTTCCCTGGGCTGAACGTGGACTGAGGGCTTCCCACACTTGATGTCATTGACACCTCAAAGTTATCTTTGGACCGGTATCGTTATCCTTCTTTTAGGCGAGGTGACAGTTACACGGAAGCCACACCCAGATCTGCAGGGCTCCTGAGCCCTCGGTCTGTCTCTGAGCCCACACCATCAGCCGGCCCCTAGCATGAACTGACACCCAACATGCGCACGGCCTGCCGCCTGCCCCTCAGCTCTCTGACCTGCGTCCCATCTCCCAGGTCTCTTCCTGGCGCCTGAGTAGCTTCCTGTGTTGGGGCTCAGACCTGACACTCACCCCCAGCTTCCTTCCTCCAGAAGGACTCCCATCTGCTACTGTGATTATCTCGCACACTTGGCATTTGCCCCACAACAAACTCTCAAGCTGCGTTTAGGGGACCCCTCGTTGCAGGAGCCCTGATGAGCCTCCCTGCCACTCTGAGAACTCTAGCATCCAGACATTCCCTCTGCCTGTCTCCTGGCAATGAGATGCGGGCACAATAGCTATGCTCAGACCACTGGATATTAGCACGCAGGACTCTGACCCTGGAAGAAGTCACCCAAAGACAAAGCAGCAGGGAGCGCCCACTGGCTGCGTGTGCAGGCAGCAGACGGTCATGGCCCGTGCCGGCTTGTTTCAGCAACAGCAAGACTGACACAGTCCCAGCCAGAAGGGTCCCACTGCCCAGCCCCGAGACATTGCACACCCTGGGCTGCTACTGCCTGGTTTTCAAGCCTGCTCCTCTGGCATCCCTTGGATTCTATGCACCCTGGGACCCGGCCAGCCAATCCCTTACTAAGGATACACAGTCATTCTCTTTTGCTGCAACAAAAAATCCTTCTTGCAATGGGCATCTCCTGTTCTCAACTGCCAGGGCTGACTGCCTCTTCTGTGCAGCCCAGCCGTGGATTCTACTGCTGGCAGGAGGCCCCCAGCTGGCACCGCTGCCAGGTTTGCCCTTACAAGGGGTGACACCAAGCCTGAACCACCGGTGTGGCACCTGCTGACGATGCTGTGAGGTGCTAGAAGCAAGTCTGAGGCATGCGCAGGGGCCCGGCCAAGGGACACTCCGCATCAGACTGCATCAGGCCCCGGTCACAACTGTGGACAGAGTTAGACACTTGCGGCTGCATCGAGCCAGAGCAGGGGAGCCAGACCTCAGAGAGGCTGGGCCGGTGGAGTCTGCATTGAGCTCACCCAGCCCAGCCTCCCAGCGATTCACACCCTCCCCCAAAGCCCTGACCCAGAATTTCGCCACTGGAAACTGTCCAATGACCTGAGCTTTGTGGGAATTAGATCACACAGACACAGCCTAATCCTGGTCCCTGTCTAGACATCTATGGGTTTGTTCTGCCTCAAATCCCCACTTCCTCTGGGGCCTTTCTCAAGGTGCATGGTCCTGTTCAGGCTGTCAGTCATGGTGGCTGTTGCAGGCTGTCGCTCCCCCTCTTCATGGAGGAACGACACTAAGCTCTGCCTAGGCTTCATATCCGAGTTACGGCACCATTATGTCGCTCCCCGTCTTCGTGGAGGAGCGACACAGGACCCTGCATTGTTCTTTCGTCTGCTCGGCCCTCCCCGGGTTTGCTGCTGGTTCTTCCCGGGTTGGCTACCGTCCCTTCCACCTCCGTGGAAGGGCGGTTCCCCCTGCCACTTTCCCCACTTCCGCAGGGGAGCGGCACACCGCCAGCCGGCTCTCTCAGGGGCTGCACAGGTGTTCCTTCAGATAGATGTTCCCCTAGATGTTCCTGGTGCATGTTGTCTCTCTCCTCCTTTATAGTCCTCTTCCACCAATCCCAACTCTGCTACCCACACGCCGAGTATGCTGCTCTCCTCCAATCAGGAGCAGGATCAGCTCCTGCAGGTTACTGGTTGAACTGGAGGCAGCTGTGTAGAAGCTGTTTCCTCCTCTCCCAGCGCCATATTGTGGGAGAGCAGATGCATAGAATAAGTCTTAATTCCAGTAACTTAGTCTAGTCCGAGTTGCTCCCAGTTGCTCCCCACAGCAGGCCAATAAAATATAGGCAGATTTGGGCAAGGGGCAAGTGCCATGTGAATCTAAGGCTGTCGTGGCCACCTTTCCATACACAGGGCGGGGAAGAGTGGAGAATGATGGAAGCAGAGGTAAGAGAGGGCGAGAAAGAGAAGGCCTTCATGACCATGTTGGAGCTGCTGGATTCAGCCATGGCCGAGCTGGAAGCACCACTCCGGGGTCTCCGGGCCGCGACGACCCAGTTTCTGTCACTTGCCTCCAGTAATCCTGCCCGCACACCCCTCAGTGTCACTGACCTCCTGCGATTCCTAGACCTGAAGGAACTGAGGCTGGGGGCAGGATTTGTGTACATTGTAATAAAGGGAAGTGAGGGACGCAGAGGAGCCAGGCAAAAGCAAAGCCAGGCAGGGGTCCTCAAATGTACTTGCTAGTCCTCCACGAGGCACCAGACCCCGACCAGGGTGGGCCTCGCTCTTCTGCAGCCTGCAGCTCACCCTGCGGCCCCTGCGCACGTCCCCCCGTGCAGAGTGCCCACTCACCTGCCGCATCAGCCTCCCTGCCACCCGGGGGTCAGTGAGGTCTTCTGTGGAGGCCACACTCAGCCGCAGGAGGAGGAAGCCCCCAGCCCCAGCTCCGCCTGCGGGTTGAGAATCTGAGGGAGATGAAAACCCCGTGAATTCTATTAAAGTGTCACCATGTGCTTGCGGCTCCCCAGGCTCCGCAGATCTGGGTGTCTCCCGGGTGTAGACGTGTCCCTGTGCACGAAGCTTCTGACAGCGACACGGAAAGAAAAGAGGCTGCCCCACCTGGGATAGTTACGGCCACCGTGGTGCCAGCCCGACTCGAGGGGACGAGACCAGGCCTTAAGGCCCCACTGCCTTTTGGAGAAATTAAAAGGGGAAGGTGAAGAAGGAGAACCAGAAGTGGATCTAAACACTCTCGGGGTCTGGAGGGCCCGGGTGGGGCTGCACGCAGGGAGAGCGCCAGGGAGGCGGGGTCTCTGAGGGAGGCCTCAGCCCCTTCTTCTCAGCTCTAGGCTGGTGGAGGGCTGACCAGATCTTTCAACCCAGCCTTCCTGGCTCAGCGGCCCAGCAGGAAGCTCTGTCTTGTTGAACTGAATCTCCCCGCCTTTACCCGCCGTCCTGTGGTCCTGTCTTCCCGGCACAATACTGGTAGAATTGATCATCCTACAGAAAATAACTCACGTGTGAGATGAGCTATTTCCTGCACGATCTTCCGACAGGACAAGATACTGGACACAACCTAAATGCCTCTCCGTGGAGCACCGGTCACATCGATAGTGGGGAAACGAAAGGGAACGTTGAGCAGCCATGGAAAGAACGGCTTTCTGGGGGAGCTGGGGGATTGCTAACGAACAGGGAGGACGTTGCAATTCCGCGAGATGAACAAGCTTGAGAGATGCACTGCCCAACACCAGCTGTCCAAAGCAGACCTGGCGCGTGCACTTCCCACTCTGTGAAGGGGTAGATCTTACCATAGTCACTTTAAAAACCTAAGAAAATACAGTCAAGAGACAAACTGTAAGATCACAAAATGAACTTGAAATACAAAATGAGAGGGATGTGGGTTAAACCTCTGCCTGCAGTGCCAGCATTGATATGGGTAACTGGTTCAAGTCCCAGCTGTTCCTCTTCTGATCCAGCTCCTTGCTAATGCACCTGGGAAAGCAGTAGAAGATGGTCCAAGTGCTTGGGCCCTTGCACCCATGTTGCGAGACCCAGATGAAACTCTTGGCTCCTGGGCTGGTGCCGTGGCTCACTTGGCTAATCCTCTGCCTGCGGCGCCAGCACCCCGGGTTCTAGTCCCAGTTGGGGCGCCGGATTCTGTCCCGGTTGCTCCTCTTCCAGTCCAGCTCTCTGCTGTGGCCCGGGAAGGCAGTGGAGGATGACCCAAGTGCTTGGGCCCCTGTACCTGCATGGGAGACCAGGAGAAGCACCTGGCTCCTGGCTTTGGATCGGTGCAGCGCACCAGCCGTGGCAGCCATTTGGGGGGTGAACCAATGGCAAAAGGAAGACCTTTCTCTCTGTCTTTCTCTCTCACTGTCTAACTCTGCCTGTAAAAGAAAGAAAGAAAGAAAGAAAGAAAGAAAGAAAGAAAGAAAGAAAGAAAGAAAGAAAGAAAGAAAGAAAGAAACAAACAAAGAAACTCCTGGCTCCTGGCTTTAGCCTGGCCCAGCCCTGGGCCTTGCAGCCATTTGGGGAGTGGACCAGTGGATGGAAGATTCTCTCTCTCTCACTCTGTTTTTCAAATAAAAAATTAGATATTTAAAAAAAATACAGAGTGAGGGGCAAGCATAGTGGTGCAGTGGGTTGAGCCACTGTTTGAGATGTCCTCTTCCCATATCAAGGGCCTGTTCACCTATCAGCTACTCTACACTACCAATCCAGCTTCCTGCTAATGTATGCTGGGAGGCAGAGAGGACAGCCCAAGCACCTGGGTTTCAGCCACCATAGGGGAGACCCAGGATGGACTTCTTGACTCCTGGCTTCAGCTTGGCCTACCCCTGTGGGCATTTGGGGAGCGAACCAGCAGACAGAAGATCTCTTTCTCCATCACTCTTCTTTTTTAAAAAGATTTATTTATTTATTTGAAAGTCAGAGTTACACAGAGAGAGAAGAGGCAGAGAGAGAGAGACAGAGAGAGGTCTTCCATCTGTTGGTTCACTCCCCAACTGGCTGCAACAGCCGGAGCTGCGTTGATCTGAAGCCAAGAGCCAGGATCTTTTTCTAGGTCTCCCATGTGGATGCAGGGGCCCAAGGACTTGGGCCATCTTCCACTGCTTTCCCAAGCCATAGCAGAGAGCTGGATTGGAAGTGGAGCAGCTGGGAATTAAACCGGTGTCCATATGGGATGCTGGCACTGCAGGCAGCAGCTTTACCTGCTACGCCACCGTGCCAGCCCCTGCTCTTTCAAATAAACAAATCTTTTGAAAGAATAACAAAGTGAACAAAAATCTTTTCTTCCTTTCCTCCCCCAAAAATGATAGCTTTATCTCAGGGAGCTGGATTTACCATACACTCCCCTTGCATAGAAACAGAGGATAAGGGGCTGGCTCTGTGGTGTAGCAGGCAGAGCCACCACCGGCAGCACCGGCATCCCATATGGGCACCGATTCAAGTCCCAACTGCTCTACTTGCAATCCAGCTCTCTGCTATGGCCTGGGAAAGCAATGGAAGATGGCACAATTCTTTGGGCCCCTGGACCCGCATGGGAAGACCCGGCGGAAGTTCCTGGCTCCTGGCTTCGGATTGGCTCAGCTTTGGCCCTTGTGGCCAATGGGAGTGAACCAGCAAATAGAAGACCTCTCTCTCTCTCTGCCTCTCCTTCTCTCTGTGTGTTTAACAGGTATGGGAGGAAGGCATTTTATGGTGGACTGTTTTTTACCTTTTGAATGTAATTTTTTTTTTAAGTTTCAAAGATGGAAGAGAGAGAGAGAGTACACTCTTATCCTCTGGTTCACTTCCCAAATGGTTTGCCAGGGCCACAGTCAGGAGCCAGGAACTCAATCTGAGTCTCCCACATGAGTGACAGGAACCCAAGTATTTGAGCCATCATCTGCTGCCTCCCAAGGTCTACATTAACAAGAAGCTCAAGTTAGGAGCCGGAGCTAGGAATTGAACCTGGGTAACACCAATGTGGGAGGCAGGCATCTTAAGCGCTAGACTCCTCCCCTTTTGACATTTTAATCATGTGAATGTATTATCTAATCAACAAGTAATAAAGAAAAGCATTTTAAAATAAAAATATTGGGCCCAGTGTTGTGGTGTAGTGGGTTAGGCTGCCACCTGCTCTGCCAGCATCCCATAGGGGCTCTGGTTCAAGTTCCGGATGCACCACTTCCCATCCAGCTCCTTGCTAGTGTGCCTGGAAAAACAGTGGAAGATGGCCCAAGTCCTTGGGCCCCTGCTACCCACATGGGAGACCTGGAGGAGGCTCCTGGCTTTGGCCTGAGCCAGCCCTGGCTGTTGTGGCCATCTGGAGAGTAAACGAGTGGATGGAAGATCTCTCTCTCTCTCTCTGTAACTCTGACTTTCAAAACAAACAAGTAAATATTTTTAAAAATGTTTTATGAGCTGAGCTTTAAATAATCGAAGTGCAATAGGGTGACTATGAGTTTGGGCATCAGACTGCCATCCCCCTGCCACCTGACAGGATTGTCTGGAAGGCTGGAAGAGATAGTATGCAAAACTCACAGCACCCTGCCTGGTATCCGGGATGACATTCACTTGGTACCAATGCTTACTGGTTGTGAAATACTCTCACAATTCCTTAGCCAGGAACACAAAAGATACAAGTAGGGCGGTTGTGAGTAATATATTTATTTCACCTCCCAGAAAGCTGAGGATCTGCAGAGATGGGGATGCGGCACAGGGTCAGTGTGATGGGAAGTACAGGAGGACCAGGGGCTGCGCTGGTCAGGCGGCCTCTGACAACGGACTCTGCCCACAAGTGCCTGTTGTCTCGGAGATGTAGCTTTAAACTCTCCAACTGTCACTCAGTTAGTTATTTGAAGTCACTCTCAATGGCGCACACCCCAGCAAGGACATCCAGTGAGCCCCACTTTCCTGGAGGCCCAGCTGCCCAGCCTGGACCAGGGGCTTGTATGGCCACAGCTGAACCAGAGGCTGCCATGCATGGTGGCATTAAATAAAATCAGGGGCCCTGCCTGATTCACGGGAGTAGTTACGGAACAGTTTGCTTTGTAAAAGACCAGATCAGAGCCGGAGAGGACTTCTGGGCTCACTCGATGCAGCCCCTTTGACTATACATGGAGAAGCTGAGACCCAGAGAGGGAGACAGGCTTGCTTGTCCAAGGTCACTCAGGCTGCTACGGGCAGAGCCAGGATCTCAAACCACTTCTCCAAACTGCTTCTGCAGTCTTTCCACACACCTGCTTGTTACTGGCAAGAACCACAAGAGGATCACGAGGAGGCAGCAGCAGAGAGGGGGCTCCGTGTGGGCCCCTGGGTCCTCCCTTCCTCCCCACCCTCCAATGGGGCTGGTGACATCCTGGAGGCCTCGAAGCCCAAATCCCCAAGAATCACACGTGGCGGGGGCACTTACCTGGATCAACTCTTGTGGTCTTCCTTGTCGGAGTGAAGGGCACGGCCACGGGGATCTTCGTTGTGCTCTCTGGGGGGGTCGTGGTCTTGGCTGAGGTCGTGGTCTTGGCTGTGGTTGTGGTCTCGGCTGAGGTTGTGGTCTCGGCTGTGGTTGTGGTCTCGGCTGAGGTTGTGGTCTCGTCTGAGGTTGTGGTCTCAGCTGTGGTTGTGGTCTCGGCTGAGGTTGTGGTCTCGGCTGAGGTTGTGGTCTTGGCTGTGGTTGTGGTCTCGGCTGAGGCTGTGGTTTCGGCTGAGGCTGTGGTTTCGGCTGAGGCTGTGGTCTCGGCTGAGGTTGTGGTCTCGGCTGTGGTTGTGGTCTCTTGGCTGCTGCTGGCTGTAGTCAGATGGGCAGAAGGGAGAGAGTGCCTGTGGGTGGGAAAGAGCCCATTGCTTGTGCTGTCTGAAGGCACAGAGCTCTTGATGGTCACTGCTTCCGAGGGGCTGTGGCCCATGGCAGAGTAGCCGGTAGCAGAGGAAGTCACTGGCTCTGTGGTACAGGCTGTTGACAAGGTTTCCGCAGAGGATGAGGTGTCGGGGGGGTATGACGCTGCCGCGGTGGAGACAGACAAAGCTGTGGTTCCAGAGGTGGGCAAGACCTCTGCCCCTGTGGTGCTGGAGGTCCCAGAGGTGGTGGCAGCTGTTCCTGTCCCCATCAGGCTGCTGGTGGTAACCTCAACGTGGGTAATGGTGAAGGCAACCAAGGCCTTGGTGGCTGTCATGATGTCAGGTGCCAGGGTTTGGGAAGTGGTGATGGCCGAAACTGAGTTGTCAAAGGAGGAACTGCTGCCTGGAGGCAGGCCCCCGGCCCCCGGGGAGGTGTGAGCCCATGTCACGATGTCAACCAGGATCCTCCTTGCCTCTTCAGAGTTGTCATTGGTGCAAAAGGTGTCGAGGACGGCATCTGTGGGACCGCTGCCTGTGGTGGCCTCCACTGTGGTCAGCCCAGTTTCTACGCCAGTTGTAGCTAATGTCTCCAGAGAGGTGGTGATCATAGCCATGAGCTTGGAAGGTATCGTCTTGGTCAGGGTTCTGGGCTGTGTTGCCGGGGAAATGGTCTTGGTCCTGGTCTCTGCTTTTGAAATAGTCCCAGCCGAGATGAAGGTGCTGGCAAAGATCTCAGCACTCAGGGTTTGAGCTTCCAAAGTGGCGTGGGCCGGCACTGAGGTCTCGGCAAGGTGAGTGGCCTGCAAGGCTCCCTCTGAGCTGGTCCTGACCTCGGCAGTCCCAGCAGGTGCTTGTGTGGTCTTTGCTGTCAAGAAAGGGTCTGGTGCACTGGTGCTGGGGCCTGTGGAGGGTAAGGCTGACTTTGTGAGCCCCGACTCTCAATGCACAGACTTACCCAGCTCTCTTATTTGTGCCCTGGATACTGTTGGAGGATGTTGTCTCAATTTTCTTTTTTTTTAAATTTTTAATTTATTTTATGTATTTGAAAGGCAGAGAGACAGGGACAGAGAGGAAGAAGCAGATTTCTCCCATCTTCCGGTTCACTCCCCAAATGCTCATAACAGCCTGGGCTGGAGAAGGCCAATGCCAGGAGCTGGGAACTCAATCCAGGTCTCCAGGTAGGTGGCAGGGACACAACCACCTGAGCCATCACCTGCTTACTCCCAGGAGGAAGCTGAAGTTGGAAGTGGAGCTGGAACATGAACCCAGGTGCTCTGATATGGAATGTGGGTGCCACAAGCAGCATCTTAGCTACTGTGCCAAACACCACCCCTCCTTTTTCATCCACATACGGATGCTTCAAACAATGTGTGGTATGGTGGTTGGGATGCTGTCCTGCTTCTGAGCCAACTCCCTGCTAATGCACCTGAGAAGCAGCAAATGATGGCCCAAATATGTAGTCCGACCCCTTGGCTTCAGTCTGGACCAGCCTGGGCTGCAGTGGTCATTGGGGGAATAAGCCAGTAGATGGAAGATTCTCCCCCCTGCCCTCCCAACATCACTCTGCCTTTCAAATAAATACATATTTTTTTAAAAAAGATCATGAAGACCCCTCATATGAACCAGGAAGACAGGGGCAGTGCAGGAAGCCCTGTCCCGCGGAGCAGCCACAGCACTGGAGTTGCCCTGCCTGGTGTCCTCTGAGACCCCAACGACCCACTCAAGGCCCCAAGTCCCAGGATCCTTGCTGATTATTGGTCTGTAGCCAGCACAGGGAGTGTGTATGGCCAGGACCCGGCTCCAAGGGTGAGCAAACAAGGCCCAAGTCCCAGGTGAGCCATGAACTCCCAGCAGGGGCCAGGACTCAGAACTTTGTGAATGAGTTGTCACTTTTCTATGGAGACTTTTCTCATCCAACAAGTGTTTTCCCGTGGACGTGTCTGAGGGAAGTCTGAGGTTTGTCTTTTGCGGTAACTGGGAGTGCTGGGGCCAGGAGCCTTGAGAGTGAGCACTGGGAGCAGGCGGAGTCCTGGGGGCTCCAGCAAGCAAAAGACAGCTCTCCAGCCCTGCCTCGACGTGGGCCTGAGCCCAGCCTAGTTTCCCGCATGGGAATTCCTGACCGTCCCCCGCCACACGCGGCTCAGGTGCCTCACGGGCATGGGCTCTCACTCCTTGCTCAGTGCTGCGCAGCCGCACCCACAAATCACACTTTTGCCTGAGCTGCTCACGTGCCTTCTCCCTACTTCAAAGCCTGAGCCATTTCTCAGTACCTGCTGGGTTGCCTTTCTGCCCCAGCTCCCATAGCCCTTTGGCCTCTGACCTCTGACACACTTCCCCTCTTCCCCGGGAGCTTCATGTCATCGGTGTTGCCATGCAACCTGCTCCTATGGGGCCGGTGCTATGGCACTGCAGGTTAAAGCCCTGGCCTGCAGTGCCAGCATCCCATATAGGCACTGGTTCTAGTCCCAGCTGCTCTTCCCATACAGCTCTCTGCTATGGCCTGGGAAAGCAGTAGAAGATGGCCCAAGTCCTTGGGCCCCTGTACCTGCATGGGAGACCTGGAGGAAGCTCCTGGATCCTGGCTCCTGGCTTCAGATCGGCGTGGCTCTGGCCTTTGTGGCTATTTGGGGAATGAACCAGTGGGTGCAAGACCTTTCTCTCTGTCTCTCCTTCTCTCTGTAACTCTTTCAAATAAATAAAGTAAATCTTAAAAAAAAAAAGAAAAAGAAAAAGAAAAAAAAAGAAACTCGCTCCCAAACCACAGCCTCTTCCTTCTGAGGACTCTCACAACCGCACCCACTCTGCTCCACCGCAGTGCCATACCCCTCCCCAGCCCTCAGAGCTCCCCTGGCCTGGGCCTCAATGCTCCAAGCCAGCGTTTTCTCTTCTATGAAATGGAGCTGGGCCAGTCATGTTGGAGACCCGGACTGAGGTCCCAGCTCCTGGCTTTGGCCTGGCTGAGCCCCAGTCATTACAGCCATTTGGAGAGTAAACGATCTCTCTCTCCCCCCTCTTCTCTCTCTCTCTCTCTCCCTTTCTTCCTGCCTTTCAAATAAAAAGAAAACAAATCTAGGAAAATCGTGTATAACAGTGTGTCCGTGTAGGCTCATTTACTGTATGTAACAAGCATGCTGCCCAGGGGATGCCACTAGCGGGAGGGCGTGCAGGAGGCAGGGACCAGGCACCTATGGACACAGCTTTGCTGTGAACCTGAAACCGCTCTACAAAATGGTCTTTATTATTCCTGTTTTTAAATGTATACGGTGAGCGTGGCAGGGTTCCCATTAGTGAACGTCAGTGTTAGCACCGTTCTTCCATAAGCACCCTGCCCGCAGCCTCCACCCTTCCCCCCAGAACATGTGACAGTCGGGCTGTCACACAATAACTGGCTTTTGAAGGAAATCTGTGCTAGGAAATAAACTCGAAGGGTCACATTCTCAGTCACATCCTAGCTTTGGCAGCACTGCCACCAGCTGGCACCTCACTGCCCCCTCCACCCTCCACCCTCCACTGCCTCCCCCCTCCCCAACACAAACCCATAGCGGTCTTCAGGACAACAGGCTCACAGCGCTGGGGCCCTCCAACCACCACCAGCAGAGCTGTGGGTTACTCACAGCTACCCCAGGGGAGCTGCCGGCACCACAGAGGGCTGCCCACCCTGGAGCGCTCCCCCAAGCCCCCCCCCCCACTGCCTCCTCACCTGCAGAGCTCCCAGGCGCCCCAGCCTGGAGGCAGACGAACAGAAGCGGCAGGGCCAGGCGCTGGAGAGAGCCCATCCTGGCTGGGGTGCTGTCTACCACCGCTGCCTCCTCCTGCCGCCTTTTCCTGCTTCCTCCACCCGGGGAGGAGGGGCAGCTGCCTGGCCAGGTGTGGCTGGGGAGTTTCCAGGACGCAGCGGGCGACCACAGAACGCGCAGGCGGAGAGCGGGCAGGTCAGGGCTGTCGGCCTATGCCCCTGCCCTCTCGGAAGTGCAGTGTAACGATTTGGAGTCACCTGCACTAAATTATTCACCCCTCGGTCCTGCTCCGAGGCCATGGCAGATGCCGTTCCATTGTCCTGCCTGCCCCCCAGGCCTGGGCCCAGCTTCATAGAGAGTTGCCTTGAGTTTTGTTTCTGGTCCCAGAACCTCAACTTTCTGATCCATAAAATGGGCATACTGCCTGCAATACTAGACTACTGTAGTAATGAGGCAGTAAAAGCCTTACCCAGTACCTGCTACACAACAGAGATGCTTCAAAAATGTGCACAGGTGCTCAGTTGATGAGAGCCCTGGCATCCTCCCGCGCTGGAGCCTTAGAGAGAAGGGATGGCCCTCTGAGGTCTGGCGGGAACAGCTCAGCGAGGTGGGGCAGGTCTCTCATCTCCCACACTCTTCCATCTTCAACATCCTGCGATTCTGCGGCAGGGTGCCACAGCCGGGATGCAGGGGCGAGGGAGGGAGAGCAACTGTTGGAGCCACAGGCCTCGGGGTCTGTCGGGGGGAGGGCAAGGTGAAGATTTAGGGACCACAGGGGGTTTTGGCCAGGCCCAGGAGTGGAGCTGCAGAATGTATTTTCAAATGTCCTAGAGAAGAGTCTCACTCCTCAAGGGGCCAAGGACGTTTGCTGTTGTAGCCATTGCTAGGGGGACACTCAGGGGATTTCAGCTCTGGGCAGAGGACTCGTGCTGGATGGGCATCATTGGACCACAAAACCTCAGGCCTGGAAGGAGCTTGCAAACTGGATCAGAAGCTTCAGGTTTTGTGTCCAACTCTGCCGTAGATGGTGGCCCAGGGGCTGTGTGATTTTGGGTAATCACTTGCCCTCTCTGGACTCAAGAGCTCTGAAGTCTTCTTGGCCCTGCAGTTTGGGGTTCTGCGGTGTGCAATGAGACACCGTCTTCCGGAACTTCACCCACTTTAGGGTAAAGGGCCAGGCTGCCTGGAGGGAGGCAGGAGCTGTCCCAGGGCCTGGGGAGGAGGACTGTCCCAGGAGAAGCTGAGGGGCCCCTGTTAGATGCAATCCAGCACTCAGGGTTGGGGATCTTGGCTCCCAGTTCCATCCCCCCACTCAACCTCAGCACTGCATTTTATAGATGGAGCAGGGGGCCCTGGGAAGGTCTCGGGTGGGAAGAGAAGACAGGGCCGTGCAGAGAGCTGACTGTCAGATCCTGTCTAGTAGCAATGCCCAGCGTGAGGCCCACCCCAAGAGGAGCTGGAGAACCCCAGGCTCTGGCAGCCCCGCCCCGGCAGGGAGGGGGCTTCCTCATTCCAGCAGCAGGTGGGTCCCTCGACCAGGGCTTAATCTCCAGAGGTATTCAGGGTGCCTTCCTCGCCCCAACTGGCAGCTCCCCTCTCCATTTCCTTCTGCTTGTTATCACCTAAAGCATCAAGAGCCCAGCTCTAGGCTGCCTGCCCATGAGGAAATGAGGCGCCCCCTGGTGAGGAAGCCAAGGGACAGCTGCCCCGGGGTGTCGGGGCTGGCCTGCACCGGCTCCCTCTGTATCTGGGGGATTTCCAAGCCTAAGTGGACGGCTGTTCGAGACCAGAACAATCTTACATAGAAATTTCTGGACCATATTTTCAGTCTAACTTGGCTGGCGTTGTGGCACAGCCGGTTAACCAGCCACTCGCCATGCCAGCATCCTGTATCAGAGCTCCAGTTCGGGTCCCAGCTGCTCTGCTTCCGATCCAGCTCCCTGTTAATGCATCTGGGAAGGCAGGAGAAGACGGCCCCAGTGCTGGGGCCCCTGCCACGTGCACGTGGGGCACCCAGATGGAGTTCAGGGCTTCTGGCTTCAGCCTGGACTGGCCATGGCCACTGAGGCCATACAAGGAGAGAACCAGCAGATCTCTCTCTCTCTCTCTCTCTCTCTCTCTCTGCCTTTCAAATAAATCAAATAACTTTTTAACAAAAGAAAAAGAACCACAATAAAGCCAGTGAGCTGGGGCCATGAGAGGGAAGGGTTGGGGTAGGGGGAGCAGAGGGAGAGGGCAGCTGATGAAGGGCCTCGGGGGCCTTAGGGGCCTGGGGAGGTAAGACTGCTGGTGAGCTCTGAGCAGGGGGTGCTGGGGCCGGACTCAGCTATGTGAGGACAGGGAGAAGCAGGGGGTTAGGAGGCTTTCACCTTGGTGCAGCTGAGAGATGGGGTGGCTCTGATCCCGTCAGATGGGGTATCAGGGAAAAAGGTGGGGAGTGGTCTGACTCCGGATCTTTTTTGAAATAAGACCGGCGTGCTGCCTTCCAGACTGCCGTGGGATGTCGAAGAGAGGACTCAAGAATCTTGACTGCGAGCTTTCCAGCCAGAACACCTGAGGGAGGGGCTTGTCAGCAGCACCATTCAGGTCTGGCTCTCCCATCCAGGTATTTAGCACCCACGGGTGAATCCGCCCTGGGCAAGGGCCTCGGGCGATGGGAGCGTGCACTTGGTTAAATGTCCTTGAGATACAGCGTGGCGGATCTGCGAGATGAGCTCCACGGGCCACGGGTGTTCCGGATCTATCAGGAGGAAAATCTCCTCTCTCAACTTGGGACCAGTCGTTGGGGGCCTGCAGACTATCCAAGAAAAGACTGCCTACTCTATTTACCTGTGTGCGTGTGAGTTGCTCAGTAGGGAGAAAGTCACTGAGTAGCCAGAGACAAAGGCTGTGCAACAAATCAAACAAAAGGAGAGGGGGTTGGGGCTCCCGTGGGAAAGCACGGAAGGTTCTTTTGGGCTTCTGCACACTGATGGCATGGACAGCCTGTCTCCCAGGCTATTTAATTGGCAGGAAGCTGCCTGAGCACTTGTGTTTTGGGGAGGCTGTGTTTTAATCACCTAAGGGAAATTCGGGAACCATTTCTCCTGCATCTTCTGCAGCTCAAGTTTTTCACTTTAAGATAATTTTTAGGGACAGGCATTTAGCCTAGTAGTTAAGACACCTGTTTGACCGATACCCAGCTCCTGCTCCTGAGCCCAGCTTCCTGCCAGTGACGACCTGGGAGGCAGCAGTGGTGGCTCAAATGATTGTGTTCCCGTCACCTGTGTGGGAGACCGAGTTCCTGGCTTTGGCCCTGACCTGGCGCAGCCACTGTGGGCAGCTGGAGAGTGAACGAGGAGACAGTAGTCTTCTCCACCTCTATCTCTCCAAGAAATAAAAATAAATTTAAACGATTTTTGTAGCAACTCAGGGGGCGGTCTGAACAGGTCCTCCTGGGTTCTGGATGTTGAACACGCGCAGACTGTGTGGATGAGACCCCAGCAAGCCGAGTTCCTGCAGGAGAGGTGTGGGAAGTCCCTAAATTACAGGCCCCTCCCCCGCACCAAGTCTGATTTCCCTGGGTTGTAGAATAGGGAAGGTCCGACCACGCTTTGTTCATTTGCTCGTTCCTTTCACTATGGCCCCACCCAGGATGCATCCGCCACTCAGACGGAGACACAGAGCATTTCAGCCCCTCAGTGGGCTCCCCTGTGTTTCCTCCCAGTCCATGTCTGGCCTCTACCCTGGAGGTGCAACCACCATTCCTGTCTCGGTCATCATAGATTAACCCTGCCTGCTTTTGAACTTCGTGTGAATGGAATCACATACATGGACCCTGGCTTCTTTCTCTTAATGTTGTCAATGTGGGATTCTCTCCCCCCTCTCCACTGTGTGTAACAACAGTGCATTGCTGTCTTTCATTGTTGGGTAGTTTTCCATGTATAAAGATAGTGCAATCTGTCTATCCATATCCCTACGGAGGGGCGTCTGGCCCAGTTATCCCCTATCCCCTATCCCCACCAAAGCTTGTCAAAGTCTTGACTAAGTCCAGGACCCTGTGGAGCAACCTGTAATCCACATAGAATGGGAACGGGGGACAGACTTATCTTCCCCAGACAATTTCATAAAGCTTTCTAGAAAGCCCATGGGAGGCCAGCACTGTGGCATAGTGGGTAAAGCTGCTGCCTGCAGTGCCAGCACCCCATATGGGCACCGGTTTGAGTCTCAGCTGCTCCACTTCCAACCCAGCTCTCTGCTATGGCCTGGGAAAGCAATAGAATATGGCTCAAGTTCTTGGGCCCCTGCACCAGTGTGGGAGACCCAGAGGAGGCTCCTGGCTTCTGGCTCCTGGCTTCGGCTGTTGTGACCAATTGGGAAGTGAACCAGCGGATAGAAGATCTCTCTCTCGGCCTCTCCTTATCTCTCTGTGTAACTCTGACTTTAAAATGAATAAATAAATCTTAAAAAAAAATAGAGGTCGGCGCCATGGCTCACTTGACTAATCCTCCACCTGCAGCACCAGCACCCCAGGTTCTAGTCCCATTTGGGGCGCTGGATTCTGTCCCGGTTGCTCCTCTTCCAGTCCAGCTCTCTGCTGTGGCCCAGGAGTGCAGTGGAGGATGGCCCAAGTGCTTGGGCCCTGCACCTGCATGGGAGACCAGGAGGAAGCACCTGGCTCCTGGCTTCAAATCTGCACAGTGCCGGCTGTAGCGGCCATTTGGGGAGTGAACCATCGGCAAAGGAAGACCTTTCTCTCTGATTCTCTCTCACTGTCTAACTCTGCCTGTCAAAAAAAAAAAAAAAAAAAAAAGAAAGCCCACAGGATGAAGCAGCCCGTCAACGCCAGCTGCCTCACACATCTCCTCTGGCTCCCCTTCCTCTTTGCTCTGATTCCCCTTTTCCTAATTCCTGCTCCTGGAGATTATGTTCCTAAATAAATGATCAGGAGAAACTCAGTTAAGACAAACCCATTAGCCAAGAGCTGGGCTCTGTGCCACCAGGGCCCTTATGCTATTAGAAACCAGCGCTCAGATTAGCAAAGGGGTCATTCCCTTCAGGAGGAAATGAAGAGGAATTAACAGGAGACGAGGAAGAAAAAGTGCACGGGGCCCCTGTATTCTGTAAATGATGGGAGGCCAGTGA